ACAATTAATTTATTTATAAGACTTATCTATCTCTATTACAGTTTATTAAGAAAAAAATAAAAAGACTTCTAAAATAAAAGTCTTGTTATTTAGCAATAATTAAATAAGATTATATTGAAAGCAATAAGATATAGTTAATTCTACTTATCAAGTCAGGTTATTAAAGCTAGAAAAAACTGTCAATAATACACTAAATTAGATGATATATTTTTACACGAATAAGAACATTTTTTAATAACCACTCGAAAATCACAAATAAGGTACATAATTTAATTTGTAACTTTTGAATGCTTTTTTTCATGCTTTTGTTCATGTGTTTAGGTCACAACCCGCAATTAGATCATGATGGTGCCTACTATGAACCCCTAGTAGCCAAGCAAAAACCCAAGATCACTAGCGATAAAAAAAAAACTAAAAATAACTAACATGGAAGAAATAACATAAGAATGGGAACTCCTAGCATAAATATATATCAAATGGTATAAAATATACAACAAGGTACCAAAAGAATTAAAGATAGAAAAATAAGCTTAACACTAGACCCGGTATCACAATTACAAGAACGTCTAAACTACATAAAGGGAGCATACACCAAGTCCTTGTAACAAAATACAAAATATATAGACAACACAAAAAGAAGAAAGTAGAAAGTCGTCGGATGCAAAGAGCTCACCATGATCCAAACAAAAAAGGCCTCGAACGATCAGGTATCAGTGAGGATGGCTCGTACTAGGCGCAATATAAAAAAAAATGCAAAAGTCAAGTATGAGTCAAAATATTGGTACTCAGTAGGCACCATAGTCCGACCGAACTCAGAAAGATACTATATAGTATAAGAAGCATGATAGTGCTAACACTATGAGTTAAAAGTTACCCTAGAAAGTCATTCTAACAAGAAAAGAGGGTGAAGATAATAATAATATCGAAAAACACACTACACACAAGTCTATTAGAAATTGCCGTAAATTATGGGATGAGCTAATGCACATGTGGCCAATGCATAAAGTAAAAAGGCATTTGCCTTGTTTGCCACCTTGTAGTCTCCGAGAGACATTTTGCATACCCGCCTTAACTCAACTACAAATGAGATAATACTAAAACCAAAAATTCAATTTGTGGGCCACTGTAGCTTATTATACAATATCGGGAAAATGCATAAGTACCCCCTCAGCCTATGCCCGAAATCCCAGAGACACACCTAACCTTTACTAAGGTTCTATTACCCCCCCGAACTTATTTTATTTGTAATATTCTACCCCTTTTTGGCCTATGTGGCACTATCTTGTGGGCCCAACGCATGTTGACAATTTTTTCAAGGATAGTGCCACGTAGGCCGAAAAGGGGTAGAATATTATAGATAAATTAAGTTCGGGGGTAATAGGATCTTAGTAAAGGTTAGGTGTGTCTCTGGGATTTCGGGCATACGCTGGAGGGGTACTTATGCATTTTCCCTACAATATCAGTAAATATATGCTTCAAAATAAGAAATCCAACAAATTTACGATACAATCTCTCTAAAAATTGATGTCCACCGAAAATGATGCAAGATATCAAAAACACCCAAGTTTTCCATCAATTAATTAGTAATACGCTCCTACAAAGCTCAAATCCAATAAAAATCATGGCATAAAAGTTTTAAAAAATGAAAACCAATATTTTTTTTGCCTCCAACTCATGCTATTATCAAACATGAATGCATGCTAATCAGAAATACATAAAGCTTGAACACATTTATATCATGCACAAACATGGTAAAGCTCCTTCCACAGTACATAAGAAATCCTGGCAGTCAATAAAAGAGAAAAAGATACAACCATCAAAGTAAATCATAAGGATACATACACCAAATAAGAAAAAAAACAATGTTTATAATTAAATTTAAACCCCCTAAAGTATTCTAAAGGCTCTATTTCAATCAAGGTTAAGATCAACCTACACTAAGGGTTAAGCAACCAAAACAACTCTAAATTTTTGAAAATGGACAATTCATACATAAGGATCATTTTAAGCATAATTCTACTCGACAATTTTTCCTAACGATCACAAAACCTGTAATATATAGAATCTAACAGAGCTAAGTCTAAAAAAGGTTAATCGCTACCTCAAATTTCATCGCAACACAAACTATAACTCAGAAGTTTCCCCTGACATGTTATCAGAAATATAAACTACGGGTCAAAATGAAAAAAAGGATACCCATATGATGTCACAAAATCCAAATTAGAAAATGGGTAAAAAAATCAACCCTTAGATCCAAACAATAAAACCGAAAACTAACTCCAACACTATGTTCTCCTTGAGGTACAAACGTTACGATCCTGACCCACCGTGATTGGCACCCACACTAACCCACCAGTGGGAGAACCAACTATCAACCCAAACATAATGCATCAAACCAATTTAAGAAACAAGTTCTGATATAAAATGCTACGAAAATGGTTTAAAATAATTAAAGGATCAAATTTCAATAAACTCAATCATTTAACAAAGTCTTTTGCGGAATTTAACAACCTAGAAACTTAAATTCATAGTACAAAAACTCTAAAGTATCTGAAATAAAGGGGATGCAATCCCAGGTAAGAAAACAATAAACTAAAGTCTAAGAAATGTCCAAGTCTGAATAGTTTGACAAATAAATAGAGAAGAACCCACGGTCACTTGGAAGAGTAGCTCACCCTTGAATTCAAAGTCACGAGTCTCTCAATTGAGGTCTCGAACAAGTCGTCTAAATAAGCCTTATACTCAATAAGAAAGGAGCAAGTGCAGTATCAATACACAAACACTGTGTACAGGTAAGATCATACGACGGCGAGTTCCAAACTATGAATGTGAACAGGTAACTATAGTACATTAATACAAGCCAACACATATATCAATGGTCACAACGTGATACAAATTCCCAATCACAAACCTTAAATTAACCAATGCATGAAACATGTCTCACATGATCAAAAAATGCACATACCTGGTCCTCTCATGGAGCACCAAAACACAAATTGTTAGTGTACCGGTGCGGTACCTTGACCAACGATTCATACCATGAGTGGTATATATCCAAGCCAACCATTAGTATCATCATCATGTACGAGCGTGGTACTCAAGCCAACTATCAATCACAAACAACAATCAGAATCACAATCACAATGAACAACCAACTTAAAACCGTAAGTAGATAACCAAGTTCATTGCATGAGATTACCACACGATATCATTTCACATTAACCTTCCAATTTCCCCTCCGCATTGCACATAATACTAAACAACAGTTAACATGCTCACATTACATACTTTGGAAAATAATAAATCAAGCCTTGGGAACTCTAAAGAAGTCGAGCTTACCTTTTTTGAATTGCCTAGTCTTGTTCTTGGTCAAAATAATAATGAAAACGAAATAATCCAGATTGTTACCAAATCCTTAACCCCAAGAAAATTCATGATCATTCTACCCCACATTGGTTCTTTCCATCAGTAATGCAAGTTTAAAACCCTCCCCCCAAGAATAACCCTCTAGATTCTAAGACTTAATAATCAATTTACAAGTTAAGGTTGTAATTCACAAACCTTTGCCGAAGAAAATGGTGAAAAAAGTTGTAAGAGAATTCCCTAAATTGCCTTCCCTCTCCCCAAGAACAGTGTAGAAAATAAGAGGGTTTTGGGAACTTCTCTACATTAAATTATGACTTACCCTGAAATAGCGGCCCGACCCACTCTAGTAGCATCACCATAGAGGTCCAACCCGCTATAGCACCTGAAAATTCATCCCTCTATAGAAGCGTGATGCTTGTTATAGCGGTTTAATTTGCATGGAATCAGAGACTTAGAAACCTCCCCAAAAGCTCCTATTTCGCAACATACCTTTGACCCTTGACATTCTTTACTAACCCTTCATGCTAAGTTTGATACCAGGAGTTGTACTCACCTGAATTCCATTCTGAAAGGCTCTATGAGTTCCTTAATGTATTAAATACTAGAAAATATAAATCACTCTCAGACATATCACACAACCCATTCTTAGATATCTCTAGACCGCGCTTCGCTCAGATTTCATTTGAGACTGGCCTAGCCTAGAATTTTTAAGTTTGTACCCAAAAAGCATTTTGACCTTATTTTTTCACCATTGGTCTACCAATAACTACCCAAATGGGTCATTACAACGAATCTCATGCCCCAAAATTGGGAAAAAAGTAGGGAAAATTTTGACCTCAAATGGTTGTAAAATCTAACTTTCAAGAAAATAGAATTTAAGATTTTGAGACCAAAAATGACAATAATTACTATATTAAAGCACACACGCGATTTAGAAAACATATGGGAAGAAACTTACCTTTGAATTAAGATAAGTGATCAATAATTGAGTAAAACCTCCTCTAACTCGAGCTCAACAATAGAGGACAATCATTCACTGATTTGGAAATAAAGAGAAGAAGTGACTTGACACCTAGCGATTGCAACTCCTACAGGCTTTTTGTTGCTAGTGTGGAAGAGATAACACTAGAGCGACAAACTCTGTAGTTGTGGCTTCCTACTAATATCACTTGCTTTTTCACGTGCAACAGGCATACCAAAGGAGACAACGAGAAGAAAGGGAACTATTTAACTACCACGAACGGCCAGAGATAGCTTTTGAATCCCAAACAATACTCAAAACCCACAAACTTTTTTTCTTAAAATAGATTTAGTTAGATTATGAGAGTGTTTTCGTCTTTTTCGTCTTGAATGTAAATTTTGCGTCTCCCATCCAAAAGAGGCTTCTGTAAAAAGTGAAGGAAAGGGGGGTTTTATAGAAGGAAGATTAGGTCATAATTGGGGGAAATGTGAGTGGAAATTCGAATGGAATTTGAAATTCAAAACCTTGGATAAGGCTGGGATGAGCTGGATTTGTACTAATCTTGTACAATTCTCAACCAATTGAGAATAGCATCCATTTGATCTTGAGAGAAGGAAGAAGAGGCAACGGGATTGCTCAACAAGTCTCCAACGTCCTTGTACAAATGGATAAGGGAAAGGACAAGCCCGCGTTTCTGGAGCTTGTACTGGTTGTGGACCCCATGAGGAAGACGACACGAGGGATCGTACTGGTTACTATACGAGGGTGTATGTAGATGTGTATGTATCGATGGGTCTGGGAAGAAATGAGATGCTGTATGAATCGGAATTGCTGGGCTGTTTTTGGGCTGGTTTGGTCTTAAAACCTGGCTGAAAAGAGGGTTTAAAAGATGGGTGAAGAGACTACATTTTGCATTTACAAGATGGCTATATTGATTGCAATTTTGACCAAGTAAACTAAGAATTTAGTCAAATTGAATTAATTAGTGAATCCAGCTAAATATTGAATAAGACAAATTAATATTAATTAATTAATGAATTTCTTAATTTTAAAAACCTACATATTAATTTAAAATTATAAAAATGACAAAATTAATTTAAAAATAACTTGAAAATACCTCTCTCTCTATCTCTCTCTATATATATGATTTAAAATTGTTTGAAATTAAAGAAGCTCGAAGATTAATCTATATTATGAAGGGTCAAAGTTGAGTGTCAACAACTGTCTCTTTCTTTGGGTAGGGTCGATAAATGAGATCAGGAACAAAGAAAATTGACAATCTAATTTTGACCGACCACATCTTCATCTTTGTGAAGGGATTTAGTACGGACATTGGGAAATTATGGTCAGACCCCGGTATCAAGTTTCCTACATATCTTAGCCTATATGAGAATTCAGGTCACTTAAAGTTCTTCATGATTCTTGATTTGACGAACGATTATGAAAGAATTCAAAAGTTATCTCGATTACGAATTATGAAGAGACAGAAAAGCTTGGGAACAAAATGAGGAGAGATTATTGGAATACACCCGAGTTTTCAACATTGAGTCCGCCTACATAGCCTTAAACTTGAGAAATCAAGTTGTTTGTAGTTCATCTATATCGGTTGAAAAGGAAACTTAGTATGCTACGATAACATTTGGTTCTAGAAGAGTGATAAATAAGTTGAATTATGAAAAAAGGCTTGCAACCTCTTAGCCATGATTGTGGTGCACTTCACACCCATAATTAAGAACTTACACGAACACAATTTTCAAAGCTCTTCATGTATTGTCACCCGAATTAGAAAATTTACTTCCGAAGAAAGTCTAAAATTTCCAGCGGATGCGAAACTAAAACTTTTATACCCCAAGAAATACTCACATGTCTTTTGACAGGGATGTGGTTTGATTGTGACGGAAGTTGCTCCTCAACTCGTGTCTTAAGAGTTTGATATTCCTCTTTGGACTATGTCCAAATTCGCTACTAAGAAAGAGTTCCACGTTGTGTTGCATCCTTGTTGATACATCTAAACTTGTGGTTTGTTTGAGAATGCACTCTCTTGAATGTTCTCGACAAAGACTAAGATAAAATTCATTAGTAGAGATATAACTAAAAGGTAGTAGCATCCCTTACAATACTTTATGGTATCTTCTCACATGTTTATGTGGATACATCATTATTTTGTTGTTTTGAAGTCATTCTCACTTCAAAAGATGTCATATAGTTATGTTCAATTATAATGAGGTGGATGCTCGATAATATTCCAATTGTGATGAGGTGGATGTTCGAGAATATTTCAATTGTAACAAGGTGGATGCTCGATGATAATTCAACTTAGTTCAAAGTTTGAACTTAAGATGGTCAAACAAAATAGGTGAATCACTTATGGGGTGGATAGCCCAACAAAACTATATTTTTGAGTCCCTTAATAAGACAAGTAAAACACATAATCCACTTATGGGGTGGATGCCTAACAAAACTATATTCCAAGACTCTTAAGCAGACAAGTAAAACACATAATCCACTTATGGGGTGGATGCCCAACAAATTATGAAATATTAAACCTCACATAGTCAATAAATATGTATACCTATATAGATACATGGCAATCATCTTAATGGGAAAAAAAAAAAGCAATTTGATATATATATATATGCTCGTCGTTACTATGACTCTTTCTTTTTTAAAAGATAGAGTTACCAAGGTGAATGACTTAGTTCTTTTATACGGAGATTAAAGATACTCCCGCCTTTTGACAAACTCAAAAGAACTTGAGTTTGTTGCTAACACATTTGATCGTTGTCACACCCCAAGGCTAGCCCCTAGACATAACACAGGATCCTAGGGTTACAAGTAACCCCAAGCTAATCCTAAATCAGACATATCACAAGCATACTGAAATAACTCTAACCAAGCGAAAGCATAACTGAATAATGAATGTAATCTAAAGGAATTCAACTCAGAATATCTGAAAGAAATAACTTAGTTCAAAATAGAACAACTCAAATTCAAGTGAGTTTCACTGTTGGAACAAGTCCCCAACTAACTCCAAAATGGTTGAAACTAAAAACAAACTAACTAAACCAAAAGGCATAAAGAAATGTCCTCGGATGATGAGGACTCACCCCTGACAATCGCTAATGTGGCATCGATATGAGCTAATCACGTGGTTAGACCTGAGAACCTGAGTCTGCATTATAATATGATGCATCATAGAGTATGCATCAGTACTTCGGGTGTACTGAGCATGAGGGATATGCAAAGATGGCTCAATACATAAATATGCTAAAAAACTGGTCAAGTATGTAAACTGAACTGAACTAAAGTACATAGGCCCAAGATACAATAATGCATACAAACTAGAATGCAAGAGTACACTAGAAGCATGCTGAAAAATTGAGAATAAATACGACTATGGGCCTGAAGTACCTTATTGAATCTAATAATGTGGGAGAGTCTATTAACCGACATAAACTATGTGAGCTAAGCGTGGAGTCTGATGTATACGCCCCATCGAGAGGACCCAATATACCTTGTTAGGGTATAAAGGCATGACTATGGTGTGATCACTAAAACTGATGCCCAACAGAGGGGACTTATAAACCTACAATGACACGTAGTTATGGGACTTGAGGGTACGCTAAACCCTAGTCCAACTCCGTGCTAAACGCTACTCCCAAATTGGATACTAGTAGCTTACTTTAAGTTGTGGCCCTGAATTCATGAGACAGAACTAAACTGGTCTGAAAACAATTGCTAAGAAAAGTTGTGGATAGAAAAACTAACTAAATTATGTTTAAAACTAAATGTAAACTCCCTGAGTTAAATTCTTAGAAGAGATAATTCATGTGAAAATACTACAATTACATGCTAAGTTCTTTTCCTTTCAAATCTCCATAAGAATTCATGCAAACTAGTTTAAATAAGTAAAGAATCGAGTAGTAATAACTAGAATCAATTTTGTAAAGAATCTGCATGGTTGGGCAAGAACCCTAGTTTCATAGAAAAATAATAACCAAAAAAGGAGTGTGATGTTTTGGCATAAGGGCGAACGATACCCTTACTGAATACCCACATACCTGGTGAAGAAAACTACAGAGAAATCCTTTGGATTTTGGGGCTGAACTTGAAGGAGAGCTTTGCCTGTTCTGGAGAAAAAAATGTCGCCTTTTTCTCTTCTTTTCTTTCTTAGTCTGATGATTTTAGGAGAATGAATATTTTAGGTAGTTTCTAACTAATTAATTAGGCTTAGACGAAGTAAAACGACGTAGTTTAAGTACCAAACGCATAGAGGGAAAGACCAATATGACCTGACTTAAAATTGACGAAGTGACCTAGAAGAGGGACTTCACGGGCCGTTTAAAGCATCATGGCCCATCTAGTGGGTCGTGATATTTCCCTGCCCAACAAGGCTTCACTAAAATGGGTACAACCTTTTACTCCTGGCTCGAAAGTAGGCAAACTTGGTGGCGTTGGAAAGATGACTTAAAGACCTTTAATTTGATAGGTGATCGACCACCTAATTCATTTTATGGTGAGAGATATGATCGATTGAAGTTGACACAAAATTTAAAAACTATTGGGTGACTTGTACGGACCCCTAGACAGGCCATCCAAGTCACCACGGGCCGTCTAAGGTGTCGTCTAGGTTACTCCTGCCCAGGCATTCCTGGATGGTGGTTCACAATACCCTTAACATGCCATGGACCCCTAAATAGCCCCTCTAGGGTGTCGTGAAGGATCCATGGTCCATTTTGGGTTCGTAGACTTGCCCGTTTGTCCTTTTTATCCCTTTCTTGAAGTACGATGTGTTATAATCATTATCGAAGACTTATACTTGATTTGATAAATTTGATTGTCATGAGGACATGGTGATCTCTAACATCTTTTTTGATCTGATGGACTTTGTGATTTGTCCTTGCAACACATCTGAGATAGCGTCACTTTTGACCATATTTAGACTCGATATCGATTTCAGGGATGGCCATGACTTTATCCATATTGCCGCCTGCAAATCATTAGTATCAATAATGAAATGAAAAGTACAAGTAAAGATAAGACGTGAGGTTAAGACATCTGACTTATGAAGATCAGGCCGTAGTGTGCCTAGTGGTGACTTTGGTCACAACTTATCACTAATTTGGCATTTGCTCCTTTGTGGTCTTTTTATCCAGGAGTCAATAGATTCGCTAGATTTTTATAATTAGAAATCTTTAAAAAGACTTGTGCACACTTTGCGCCTGGCGATCCTACAACTTGTTTCTCAAACTTTGGAAGAGTCTATTTGTGATTATCTCCAATTCCTACAAAATAAAAAGGAAATGCTTAGAAATCACTTGAGGTAACATAATGAATGAAGATAAAATGAGATGAAAAAATGTATGAGTTATGATGATGAGGCCACGATGGGTGTAAATGGTGCCTTTTGCCCTGATTGACAGCTTTGACATTGCCATTTTTGTGACTATGTTGTTCCTGCATCGAAAAAAAGTTCTTAGTTTGAAGACTGATTTGTGTTGGCCTTGTCTCCATCCTTATTCATGCAATTGGCTTGCACACTCGTCTGCTCTTCGAAATACAATCTTGATGGAATTTATTAGAAGGGGCCTCAAATTTTTTGTCAAGAACTCTTGTTACTTGCTTTGTAAAATTTGAAGTCACCTGTTGTGAAATTTTGAGGTCCTTCCTCAAAATTTTGTTCCAGTTTTGCTTCAATAATCATAAGTATAAGTCCTTTAGCAAATGACTTATTTGTGGAATTTTTAAGATGATCTCAAAAATTTGTCCCAATTTCCATTATAAAAAGATATGGAAATCTTACGGGAATATGATAGAGCCGTTCTGGCGCCTAAATATCCTGTTGAGGTAGGAATCATGTCAAACACATTTCC